CCCAAAAAAATCAGCTGTGCCACCCAGACAGCTGTGCATGGGTGCACAGCATTTGAAAATCCTCTTCTTTCCTGCTTGTTCAACCCCAGCTGTGCTGCATAAAGCAGCTGAGGTTGAAAAAGCAGGTAATAAAGGATACCCAAGAGCCCAGGCAGGCAGGTGAGCCAAACAGTCAACCAGAAGGTCGTCACAGCAAACCTGTTCAGAGTCAGCTGCTCTTCAGAGCTACTGGTTCTATAGAACCAGGCCGAACTGGGTAGCATCCAACCCCTGCATATTCCCTACCTTCCAGGATCTGGTTACTGTCCAGGGGCAGCCATTTTGTCCCGAGGGTTCTACAATTTATTGGTGAAGTAATATGTCTTAAGATGACTAAATCTATGTATGTATGTATGTATGTATGTATGTATGTATGTATGTATGTATGTATATCCTGCTTTATTCTTTTTTTTAAACAAACAATCCAAGGCAGTGAATATGGCCAAAACATCTCCCTCCTATTTTTCCCTCAACAACAACCCTATGAGGTGGCTTGGTCTGAGAGAGAGTGACTGGCCCAGAGCTGGCTTTCGTGGCTAAGACAGGACTTAAACGCACAGTTTCCTGCTTTTTAGCCTGGTGCCTTAACCAAGTAGAATTCCTTTGATCCTGTAACATAGCTTTTCATGGTGCATCATTTTTGGAGGTAGAAGCCTCCAAGCATATATATTCTGTCATATATGTCATATATTCTGACATTTGAAAGTCTATGAAGTGTGGATGCCAGCATCCTGCATATGGATACCAACTGAGGAAGAATCAGAAGGACTGAAAAAATAAATCTGTCTGCTCCTCTTGGGAAAAAAAATGCATGACCATCTTCCTTCTGTATTTATATTCAGAAGAGATTCATCCATGTACTTCCCTTCAAATTTGCTTTGCCATATATATTTTTTCATTAGTCACAAAAATTGATTACACATTCATCAAAAAGACTTTTGTGGATGAAATTGGCGTGTTTAGTTAAGCAGCTCACTCACTGATTGGTGCTGAATAAGAAGGTGGTTTTTTTTTAAAGTACTCAAAATATAATTCCCATTTTAAAGGACCTAAAACCATTGGTCATGAGGACTTTCAAGGACATCTGTAAATGCACTCAACTTCTTTTCACTCTAGAAGTAATTTTGAACAATTTCCTGAATAATGAATGACTCTTGCACAGTGTTTTGATATTAATATCTACACAGGCATCCTAAACATGTACATACCAGGAAATTTACAAAGAGATATGCTTTTCAAAAGATAGCAGTATACAAGTACTTTTGAGAATACATGTTTCTATTAGAGGTTACATACATCTTTTAAAAATCAGGTTCATGTATACAGATAAACAATGAAAAATAAGTGTCCCCATATAATCAAAGCTTGCTATGTTTTACTGTGTGGCAATGTGAAGCTATTTCAGATTGAAAGAGATGATAATAATGACGGCGACAGTCATGGTAGGGGTGATGGTGATATTGTAATCATTCTTAAAATTATATGCAGAAGGGGCACTTTTACAATGTCCAATAATTAGTCCTTATTTTAGGCTTTGAATTGAATGTAATATTGAAGCATTGATTTTTTTTAAAAAAAAAATATTCTTATGAGTTTCAATCATAAAAAAAAGTTTGTCTCAATATATGGGTATGAATATGTCTGTTTTTCTGCCTATTCCAAGATGTTTAGACCTGTGTAGGCTGATTTAAATAAAATGGGTTGATCTAATCTGGGTTGGTCACCAGGACCAGAGGTTTTGTTTTCCGAGCTTTTGGACTCATGCTGGAGCCCATCCTTGGAGACATACTCTGCTAGAGAGAAATTCCCTGAGGATGTGAAACATATATTTGCCTCCATTCATGAAAATTTGTGTAGCAGAAGATCATTTCTGATAGAGTTTTTACTGTACTGAGAAATTTGTCTATTGGACAATTTTAAAAAGTGTAAAAAAGAAACAAACACTTGTATTTCTGTATTTTTGCCACAGAAAGAGAAAACATTGTGGGATGAGAGTCAAAGAAATGATTCTTGAGGAGAGAGGCTTCCTTATTTTATAGTGAAGTTGTATCATTAAGATTCTCCATTCAAAGTGCCAAACTGATTTTTGTCTGATGTGGAATTTGGGAAGAAAGCTGGGAAATGACAGGATTTGGGGTGGTTTTCTGATGTGTATGGTACTCATGTTGTAGTGGATGGAAATAAATTATGGGCCAATCCATTTACAATGAGGTAATGTCTCTTAAGCAAGTCAGCAGTCAACCTTATTTCATGAAAGTCCAGCAAATATATAAATGCCCTAATGACCAAATAAGTATTTCCCTTTTTCTTTCACATTTTTTTTCTCTAATTAGAATAAAAGAATTGAATGAAGCAGCAAAAGCAATCTTATCTCCACAGAATCTTCAAAAACTGAAATACGGTTGTTGTAGCTAAACAAAAGATGCAGATTATTACATTATATGTGAAATGGAGCTTCCAAGCAATAAAGATTTAGAAGCTAAAACCTAATTTCAAATTGACTTCTATTATCTGGTTTAGATGGAATGCATTTGATCATCTGACTGTGGTATTTGACTCAAATGCATTCTGATTTCATGCAGGACTGTAAATATTTCTTTTTTCAGGAAAGTTATGAATCAATGTTTCTGTCTGTGAACCTCTCCCTTTATCAAAGTAAATGTTGGGTCTGAGCTGGGCAGCTCTTTCCTTATGCTAGACTTTAAAAAAATTCAAGTATTTCAAAAGTGAGACAGGTTTCTAAATAAATAATTATTCTAGCATTTATTTTACTTGCTGTCTGCAACCTGAGACTCACTCTAAATAATGAATATAAGGAACAAAAAAGAGAGAGAAAAGAAAAAAACCAAAATCTTCTTGAAATGTTCCCTCAAAATAAAAATGATACAGTTTTCTTAGCAATTTTTGTATACTTTATCACATTTTAGGCAATAATGTACAAAGTCAGTTTGGTGTAGAGATTAAGGCAAACCATAGGCTATAAAGCACTAGAAGGCAAGTGCCTGTGAATTCTAGTCCTGCCTCAGAGATGAAGCCACCAGGGTTACCTTGAGCCAGCCACTCACTAGGAAAGAGGCAATGGCAAACCACTTCTGAAATCTTGACAAGAAAAATGGAGTAACTTGTCTCCTCACAATCACTAGGAGTTAACACATACTCAGAAGCATGATGGGGACAGCTATCAATGTAAAATATTTATCTATATTCATACTGTACATCTTCTCTATACTATATGAAAGCCAGACATATTCCCAGTATAGATCTGATTTTGTAAGTAATTCTTCATCCCAAGGAATTCTTGTAAGCTCTATGAAAGGGGTTACAACCACTAAAAGGCTGAATTTGTACAACATTCTAGACTAAAAAGGGGTTGGGTAGGTTGCCATGCTGTAAGAATCAAACTTTTGTCTTGATATACTCTCTGAGCCAAATAATTATAATTATTGTCATTTGTTATTTTTCCACTAGTGACTTAAAGCATCTTCTGAAATTGTCCAGCCATTATGTATTGCGAGTAATGGCCAAGTATTGCTATGAAGAGGTTAGGTCACTGGTGGAGAAATTATCTGTTCTCCAGATGAGCTGTTCAGAGCATCCAGACATGGAGGTGCTTCCTTCTCTTGTCCGATAGGCTGAGCTGATTTCTGTGGACAATTCTCCTTGAGGCTCCCCCATAGTGTCCCTAATTTTTGCTCAGCCTTCATACAAGACAGGCATATTTCTCATGGCTGGATTCTCTGAAAGCAAGCAGAAAATCAGTAAGAAATCAGATCGCAGCTTTTGGCTTAAAACAAGGGGAGTCAAGTTTCATAAAAGCTAGATAACTAGCAGCGCTGCTTTTATCACCAGCTGGGTGTCGCAGTCATCAAGCCCACAGTGAGGGCTTCAACAGCAAGCAAAGCACACTCAGCCAGCACAATACAAATTTCCCTCAGAACACCATTAAAGCCACAGAAGCGGCTGAAGCAATAAAGATCATCTGGCTGGCAGAACTTTAAAAAGCTCTGATTCAGGCTTCAGGCAGCTGTACACCCAGTTGGCAATGAGGAAATACCTCCAGGATGCTTCTTTTTGTCAAACTGCTGGCTGCTGAACTGATTAGAGACTGTTAAGGCGCGAGGAGCACAGGCTCCTCTCGCACCAAAAAGATAACAGCCAGAGGCTTATTCCCTGCAAAAAGTACACCTAGATTCAAAAGCCAGGGGTTAGCACTGATTTCAGTGCCTGACTTCTACCCGACGCAGTTTGGAGCCTGCCTGTAAAAATCAAATTCATCTGTTTTTAATTAATTGCAGAGCTCCTGTCGGGGGGGCTTCTTTACTGTTGACTAAATTTACTGCATGCCAAAAATAATGGCTGGCACTATTTTGTTACACAGAAACTTCAAAGTGCATTGAATATTTATACTTGCCTAATTAATTAGAAAATTGTGAGGTGGTAATTCCTAAAGGGGCCATCACAGCACAGCCGTACAGGACCTTCAGCAACAACACAAAAAGACCAATTGTGGCTGAAGGATTTTTAAGTTGGCAATATCTCACGTTCATCTATAGTCATTAGAAGAGCAGCTAGCACCTAGACCTAAGCCCACCTGTACCTTAAAACTGCTGGCCCAGTAGTATCAAGATTAAACCTAATCTGGGCAACCACAGGTGTATCTTGAATTGGCATTAATTGAAATAAATTGAAATTCATTGATATTATTTCAAATTAATTATTTTACAAGTTAATTAATTAATTAACTTATAACATTAATTGAAAAAAATAATAATTAAAAAAGGAGATCAAATTAATTGCATTGAGGGATCTCTGCCCATATTGGAGCAGGTCGCTAGGTGAGCCAACCACCAGTAAAACCAAGGCTCACATTCCCACAACTCCTGTACTCAGGGGTTGCTATGGAAAGGGGAAGTTCCATTAGCTCCACTGTTTCAGGCTGTAGAGCGGCAGCCAGAAATGCCATGGCCAAACCCAAGAGTTCAAAAAAGCCTTCAAAAAACGCTGAGAAGGATGCCAAGGAGGAGCCTCAAGGAGGAGTGTCCTCAGAAATCAGCTCAGGCTATCAGACGACAGAAGGAAGCACCTCCATGTCTGATGCTCTTCACAGCTCACAGAGAATGGGTGTATCAAGTAAGCACCAATGCCCCATTTATTTCCTTAAGTATAGTGTATTACTTGAACCAAGCAGGATTGTTATCTTGTTGAATGAATCCAGAAATGGGTCAACATATAGGCTTTAGTATTAACTGAGGGAAATAATAATACAATAGATGAAATCCTACAAATTATATTGATGAATTAGGTGCATTCACTCCCAAGGTTCAGTTTCTTTTTGTTTTAACTCTGTTCAGTGTGCTTGTAACTTTTATCCCATTGTCATTCTGAATTGTGTATTCTTTAAATTTTGTAAATAAATAACTTTAAGCACTAATTACAGTGCTTTTGTTTTCCAATGAAAATTTCCAATTTAACGAAAAAGTCATCTGAGGAGATTTTTGAATATAAGGCATTATTAACAATGCAGAACATTGAATAAAACATCATATTGTATTATTTGCTGTGTGCTGCTCAGAAATGCAGAATGTAGCCATTTCTGATGTGATTCCTTTCACACGTATGACAAATCAGTTATTTACATGATGGAAAACTTACATTCCTTATGTAATTGAAAATAATAATAAGAAGGAACAACAACACTACATCCCATTTATATGCCTGTCACCACCTTAGTCTCACCCGAACCTGAAGGAAGGGTGTTATTTTGGGGAAATGTTTACTCATCTCAGTCAGAAAGGTTATGCGATGAAACACAGATCAACATGAAGTAAAAAACAACATACAAAGTCATCTTTCCTTGGGGATTTTTTAAAGAAAAAAAATAAAAACTGCATGATGTTTTCCTTCTTTTGAGTGCAAGGGGCCTTCCGGGTAATTCAGATAAATATTTATTCATGTTCTTTGTTCTATTCAGAACATCTGATTGAGTTATGAGGCAGCAATGGGAGAAGTAGCATAGCCTCTCTTTTCAGTTTATTAAAAACAATTCATTGGGTGACATTGCAATAAAAATAAATAGATAAAAAGACTGGACACTTTCTAGATTGGTGGTCTCTGCCTGGGTGCCTTCCAAATATGCTGAATTAAATTTTCTACTCCCTGAACAATTGCTCAGAACTACAGGAGTTGTAGTTTAATGCCTTTAGAGGGCATCAGGTGAAATAAGAAATTATTTATTTATTTATGTGTTTGTTTGTTTGTTTATTTGGTTTGTCAATTACTTACAAGATAATAGGTATAAGTAAAAACATAGTTATGAATACATGGATACATATAAGAAAAATAAAAAGAAACAATAGGACAGGGACGGTAGGCACTTTGATGCGCTTATGCACGCCCCCTACAGACCTCTTAGAAAAGGGGTGAGGTCAATAGTAGACAGTCTAAGGTTAAAGTTTTGGAGGTTTGGGGAAAAAAAACCACAGTCAGGTAGAGTATTCCAGGCATTGACCACTCTGTTGCTGAAGTCATATTTCCTGCAATTAAGTTTGGTGCGATTAACCTTGAATTTGTATCTATTATTTGCTCTTGTATTGTTGTGGCTGAAGATGAAATATTCATTTGCAGGTAGGACATTGCAATGTATGATTTTATATACTATACTTAGATCGGACTGAAGGTGGTATAGTCCTAGGTTTTCTAGGTCTACAATTTCAAGTCTGGTGGCATAAAGTATTCTGCAATGAGTAGAGGAGAGTTTCACAACTTTTCTTGTGAAATATTTCTGGACTTTCTCAACTGTGTTAATATCAGATATGTAATGTGGGTTCCAGACTGATGAGCTGTATTCGAGTATTGGTCTAGCAAATGTTTTGTATGTTGTAGTTAGTAGTGTAATATTACCAGAGAAAAAGCTACGTAAGATTAGATTAAGAACTCTTAATGCCTTTTTGGCTATGTAGTTACAGTGGGCTCTAGTTGCCATTTGTTTGACCATTCTGATACATAGTCAAGATCTGTTTGGAGGGTAGCAGTATTGTCTGTGGTGTTGAATAGCTTTACATCATCAGCGAAGAGAACGCAGTTGCTCTTAATATGATCACAGAGGTCTTTTATGTAGAGTATGAAAAGATTTGTTCCTAGAACACTGCCCTGTTTCCTTGTTTCCTATTTATTTTTTTCTGTTCCTTCCCTAATCTTTTGAGCTACAAAGCACCTGAAGTGCAACTTGCTGTAGCACTGATGAGAATGATGGTGATGATTTAGAGTTTCTCTGTTCCACTCCTCTCTATAGTTGGAATAAAATGCCAAATTCAGTCTAAGCATCTGGCTCAGAGGTGGTATTGAGCAGGTTATGACCAGTTCTAGAGAACCAGTAGTGGAAATTTTGAGTAGTTCAGAGAACCGGCAAATATCAGCTCTGACTGGACATTTTACAGTATCCTTTTCCTGCCACGCCCACCAAACCACGCCCACAGAACCAGTAGTAAAAAAATTTGAATCCCACCACTGATCTGGCTGCCCATGTGACCAACTATAATACTTTGGAGAAATACAATCCAATTAGCCAGGACACCTCTAGGCGGAGATTGCAAGAAGACCGTGAGTGTCAGATATACTTGTGCGAGTTAAAATTCAAAGCCTTGGGCCATGAGAACATACCATTAGTATGAGAAATAACTTTAGTGTATTTCACTTATGAGTATATGATAATGAGGAGCTATGTAAAGAAATAATAGATCCTGTGAAAAATCTATTATTTCTCCATTCAAGTGGAGAAAAGTCCCCAGAGTTTCAAAGAAGAAATGATCCAAGTCATAGGTTTAAAATTGCTATCAAGAGAACAAGAAAAGTCAATGGATGAAAGCTTTGGATAAAAAAAGCTATGATGACTTGAATGCTGACTTTTAACACAATGCAAGAAATGACATGGAAAGATATATCAGTCAAGCTGGAGTAACAAGAAAATGAAACATGAAAGTTGATTTTAAGATGGAAAAAATACAGGAAAAAGTGTAGGTAAAATCAGACTTGTCAAAAGTAATTATACAAGAGTTCTAAGAGAGAGAGAGAAAAATCAATTGAAGGAAAATGCACTAAAACCCATCACAAACAGAATTTGAGAATTACAGAATGTTTGTTGAAATAAAATATACAGTGATCCAGAACTGGCTCTTCTAGGAGATAATAAAACCAGGTGTCAATGAAATAACCCCAACTCTACTTGAAATTGTAGAAGTAGCAATTATGTACCAACAAATAGGCGGGAAAGCAAAGAGGTCCAGTAATTGAACCAAATTAGTGTATACACCTATAACAAGGAAAAAAGATGGAAGAGAATGTTGAAATTAGTAAGATTCTATAGTTTGGTCTATGACTACATGTGTCAATCAACTAAACTAAACAAGTCTGTGTAGTGCTTCAGATTTCAAGAAAGATATTGTGGTTCAGAGCATTTATGGGTAGGTGTGTAGCACCTATCTGGAATGCTTTAGGGTCACTTTTCCTAGATTTCTGTGGCAGATGCAGAGGGAAGGTATGGGAGACTCAGAAGGACATAGTTGCATGCTCACATATCTCTGAGGTCAACCAGTCAGTCATACCCACTGCTGCTGGTGGTTAATGGTAGCTTCTGGCAGATATCTCTGAACTTTCAGGACAGTTTGTTCACTTAACTAAAATATTAGAAAGTGTGTTGACTAATAAGTCTACATTTTTATAGTCTTTTTTCTTGATGGGTGTGTTTTCCAGATGTTGCTGTCTAGTCTTCTGGGATGACTTCCAAGAGAGGTGGAAAATTTGCTGTCATAAACTGTCACAGTTGGTTTTGTCTAATGTGCTGCCTAATTAGTTCATCCCAATGAAGTTTACCGATATATATAAAAGGAACTAGAGAGTCACTGCTGAAAGAATTGTCCATTGAACGGTAAGTAGAATAATCCCAATTTCTGTAATTAGACTTGGTTTAAAGGATTTGCTATATTTTCAGATGACACCCAGAAATAAAATTAATTTTTAATAGCATTTGGACTTGAACATTTTTAAATAGAGTGCACATGTATTTTTGGTTAGAATATTTATAAAAATTAACTTAAGAAATCTCTTTTTTAGTCAATTTTATTTAATTTTTTCAAGGAGAAAGGGAGTAGAATTTATGAGTTTTATATATAATCCATTTTATCTATTATCTATTTCATATAGTGAAAGATAAATGTGTCCATAAAATACTTGTTGTCTAGTAATTCTTTTGAGCAAAGTTTTAATATTTGTCATCTTGACTATCTTGTTAAATGTATTGTTCATGCTTAGTTAATATGAAAAAAGTCTAATATATAATTTAGTTGGTAAGAATGTCAAATTAATGGTATAATATTAATTTTATATTGATATGATGAATAGTATATACGTATGTGTTTCTGTTTGTGTGTATATATAAATGTGTGTAAATGTAAATGTGTGTGTATTTGTGTGTGCATGTATGTTGATATAAATACATACATACACACGCATAATGGTATACACACACACACACACACACACACACACACACACACACACACACCATTATAGTTTAAAGAAAGTGTTCTTTAACACAATGAAATATGCATGACTTTGTGCATAAAAGTAAAGTTCTGTAGTGCTTTGGTCATTACAAATGCATTATTTATATTATAATAAATTATATTTTATTATTTAAAGGAAACAAGCCCACATTAAAAGTTACCATGGCATGGAATATGTACCAGATCACCCTACTTTTATTTTCACTGTCTTTAATGCAGCAAGTTTCTTCACAAGGTACTGTAAAATGTCAAGCAAAAACAGCATTTGAAAATGGCTTGAGAATGGCAGCTCAGGCTATAGCCTGCTTAAGTGGAATTGTATAGTTTGAGAGGAAAAAAGGAAAACAAATATATAGGGGGGAAAGCACACAAAGGATGGTACTTGTATTTATGTTACCCAGAGAGATGTTATTTAAAGGATTTTTCCCCCTCAGTAATTAATTTTTCTTCTCCTTAAAAGATAGGAAGGACTCACCATATAGATTTTAAGGTTTGATAATCTGCCAATCTGGATTACTCATTGCTTCATTTCCCTGCCATCCTTTTGGCATTCTCACTTGAGAGATTTTC